GCAGGGTGATTGACAGCGGATCCTTCTCACCAGCTAGTCTCCCATGTGACATTGTTAGCTAGTTTGTTGGGTGGCTTCAGCAGGGTGATTGACAGCGGATCCTTCTCACCAGCTAGTCTCCCATGTGACATTGTTAGCCACTTTGTTGGGTGGCTTCAGCAGGGTGATTGACAGTGAGTCCTTTTCACCAGCTAGTCTCCCATGTGACATTGTTAGCCAGTTTGTTGGGTGGCTTCAGTAGGGTGATTGACAGCGGCTATTTCTCACCAGCTAGTCTCCCATGTGACATTGTTAGCCAGTTTGTTGGGTGGCTTCAGCAGGGTGATTGACAGCGGATCCTTCTCACCAGCTAGTCTTCCATGTGACGTTGTTAGCCAGTTTTGTTGGGTGGCTGCAGTGGGGTGATTGACAGTGGCTACTTCTCACCAGCTAGTCTCCCATGTGACATTGTTAGCCAGTTTGTTGGGTGGCTTCAGCAGGGTGATTGACAGCGGCTCCTTCTCACAAGCTAGTCTCCCATGTGACATTGTTAGCCAGTTTGTTGGGTGGCTGCAGTAGGGTGATTGACAGAGGCTGCTTCTCACCAGCTAGTCTCCCATGTGACATTGTTAGCCAGTTTGTTGGGTGGCTTCAGGAGGGTGATTGACAGCGGCTCCTTCTCACAAGCTAGTCTCCCATGTGACATTGTTAGCCAGTTTGTTGGGTGGCTGCAGTAGGGTGATTGACAGCGGCTACTTCTCACCAGCTAGTCTCCCATGTGACATTGTTAGCCAGTTTGTTGGTTGGCTTCAGCAGGGTGATTGACAGCGGATCCTTCTCACCAGCTAGTCTCCCATGTGACATTGTTAGCCAGTTTGTTGGGTGGCTGCAGTAGGGTGATTGACAGCGGCTATTTCTCACCAGCTAGTCTCCCATGTGACATTGTTAGCCAGTTTGTTGGGTGGCTTCAGCAGGGTGATTGACAGCGGATCCTTCTCACCAGCTAGTCTTCCATGTGACATTGTTAGCCAGTTTGTTGGGTGGCTTCAGCAGGGTGATTGATAGCGTATCCTTCTCACCAGCTAGTCTTCCATGTGACATTGTTATCCAGTTTGTTGGGTGGCTGCAGTAGGGTGATTGACAGCAGCTCCTTCTCACAAGCTAGTCTCCCATGTGACATTGTTAGCCAGTTTGTTGGGTGGCTGCAGTAGGGTGATTGACAGCGGCTACTTCTCACCAGCTAGTCTCCCATGTGACATTGTTAGCCAGTTTGTTGGGTGGCTTCAGCAGGGTGATTGACAGCGGATCCTTCTCACCAGCTAGTCTCCCATGTGACATTGTTAGCCAGTTTGTTGGGTGGCTTCAGCAGGGTGATTGACAGCGGCTCCTTCTCACAAGCTAGTCTCCCATGTGACATTGTTAGCCAGTTTGTTGGGTGGCTGCAGTAGGGTGATTGACAGCGGCTACTTCTCACCAGCTAGTCTCCCATGTGACATTGTTAGCCAGTTTGTTGGGTGGCTTCAGTAGGGTGATTGACAGCGGATCCTTCTCACAAGCTAGTCTCCCATGTGACATTGTTAGCCAGTTTGTTGGGTGGCTGCAGTAGGGTGATTGACAGAGGCTACTTCTCACCAGCTAGTCTCCCATGTGACATTGTTAGCCAGTTTGTTGGGTGGCTTCAGCAGGGTGATTGACAGCGGATCCTTCTCACCAGCTAGTCTCCCATGTGACATTGTTAGCCAGTTTGTTGGGTGGCTTCAGCAGGGTGATTGACAGTGGCACCTTCTCACAAGCTAGTCTTCCATGTGACATTGTTAGCTAGTTTGTTGGGTGGCTGCAGTAGAATGATTGACAGAGGATACTTTTCCCCAGTTAGACGCCCCACATGACATAAACATGGTAACCTGATAAATTTTGGTTTTATTTGATTTTTTTAATTGCTTCAATGTGCTTTGTTTGCTATTTTTAAGTGAAGTTGGAATGTAGTTATTTTATACTTTTGTTTGCTTTAACAGCTCGGTGTGGTCCCTGAAAAAGAAAGAAAATGTTCTGCAGTGACCTCTGAAGGAGACATCACAGGTAAGCCTCTTAGCTCCACCCACTGATCGCACAGACGCTGGTAAATATCACATGACCACAGTATATAATTGATGCAAGAAAGGTATTTTACAGTTTTATAATACTGTAATCTATAGACAGTTGTTTAAAGGCTTCTATCTGCTTCCTGTATGCCAGAACTGGCTCAAATGGGTTTACATACACTGAAATAATCCCCAAGAGTTTACTTTACAGTTCCACTTCAGGCAGATATAAAAGACACGGCTCTGAATTCATTAGTACATACATGAATTTGTTTTTAATGCAAGCAGTGTAAGTACTTAAAGCGGAGTTCCACCTAAAAAAAAAAAAATAAAAGTCAGCAGCTGCAAAAACTGTAGCTGTTGACTTTTAAAATACAGACACTTACCTGTCCCTCGGTCCAGCGGTGTCCTCACCACGGCTGGTTTCACCGGCTGTCTTCTCTCCCTGGCACCGGCATCTTCAGTGTGGGCACCTGGCTGTGACAGCTTGCGGCTTCATAGCCGGTTGCCCACTGTGCATGTGCAAGAAGCGCTGCGCTTTGTGAATGGCCCCGTAGTCTTCTGGGACCTGTCATGTGTCACAGAAGACTACAGGGAGGGAGTGGGGAGGACAATTTATGCTTCCGATCGCCTAGGCAATTGCAGCAGAAGTGGGAGTGGGTACCTGCCAATTTCGGGTACCTGCTCCCCAAAGGTGCCAATCCTTAATGGGGAGCGGGAGACAAAGCATTAAAGCGGAACTTCCCCTTTTGGGTGGAGCTCTGCTTTAAAGTTGACTTGGCATCAGTCTCTTCAATCCACCATATTGCAGAGCTCAGACTGGGAGCAGCAGCACAAAGAGCTAATCATTTGTGCTTTAGAACTCAAGTGCTTACTGTACAAGCAGCACACTCACAGAACCAGAGAGCAAAGTGAAAAAGGGATGAGCTCATCATTCTGCTGCTTTTCCTTTCACTGTCCAGTCCCAAGGTGGAGTGTGGTTTTAAAAACAAATGAGGTCCATGCCAGACAGGACTCTGCTGTGTGAATCACAGGACTGGAGGAACAGTAATGCAAATCTTTTGGCAGCTAAAACGGCTATCATTTATAATGATATTATTATATTATTATTATTATACAGGATTTATATAGCGCTAACAGTTTGCTCAGCGCTTTACAATATAAAGGGAGACAATACAGCAACAATACAGTTCAATACAAGAGGGTTAGGAGGACCCTGCTCCTTGGAGTTTACATTCTATAGCAGAAATATTGCTACAGGATGGCACGGGTGTGTATGTATACGTGATTTTGCAGTTCCATTCGCGGCCTCAGCTGTCAGTCACTGGGTCCTGGCCAGAGATTCCCCGCTGGCATCCGGCGATCTCCGAGTATTACCGATGGGGGAGAGACCTGTATGTAAAGAATGCAGATCTCTTCCCTGTCAGCTCCTGCACACTGCTTTGTATGGCTCTGCATAGCAGAGCTATACAAAGTAGTATGCTTACAGTGAAACACATACACACAGCACACATAGTAAAACAGCACACAGTTAACTCACATATTAACCCCTTCCTGCCCAGTGCCATTAGTACAGTGTCAGTGCATTTTATTAGCACTGATCACTGTATTGGTGTCACTGGGGATGTCAGTGATGCCAAGTCAGTTCCCCCCAGTGTCAGAATGCCTGCCGCACTCCTGATATAAGTCGCTGATCGCTCTCATTACTAGTTAAAAAAAACGAAATTCCAGTATATACTGCCATTTGTAAATGCTATGACTTTTATGTAAACCAATTAATTTACATTAAATTTTTTTACTGAACATGTTTAATAGCAAAAAGTCAGAAATATAGTTTTCAAAATTGTCAGTCTTTTTTTGTTTATAGTGCAAAAAATAAAAGATGCGCAAGCGATCAAATACCACCAAAAGAAAGCTTTATTTGTGGGAAAAAAGGACATAAATTTCATTTGGCTGCAGCATTGCATGATCGCGCAATTTTCAGTTAATTTAAACCAATGCTGTACCGCAAAAAATGGCCTGGTCAGGAAGGGGGGTAAATCCTCTGGAGGGCAAGTGGTTACAGTATATCTGTACTCTTACCTGTTAAAACAAGCCACTCAGTTTCAAATAGAAATGAAAGGCAAAACATTTGTGTAATTATATAAAAAAATATTATAAATACCTTTTTTTTTCTTTTTCTATAAATTATAGCGAAACCTCTGTTCTTATCTACCTAAGGGGCTTAGAGACATGGGGGTGGAGACTACAGGGAAGCATGTCAGAAGTAGGCAGATTAAAGCTGTGCACTGATCTTCCTGGAAAAGAACTGTGCTGGGGGGCATGTCAGCAGTAGGCAGGTTAACATCTGTACACTGATCTTCCCAGAAAAGAACTGTGCTGGGGGGCATGTCAGCTCAAGTCTTGCCCATTGGAGGACAGGCAGGCTGAGCTCCAAGCACAACCAGGAAACTGACCACACTGGGATGGATGTGCTCTCATGCCTAGCAGTTTGTAAAAGGAAAGCAGGAGGACTGGCAAGAATACCAGGTATTTCACACAAAGGATGCAATGCAAAGAGAACAGGATACATTTTAACACAAGTACATGGTTCAACAGGCACATATCAGGAATATAAAATGTTGGGGTAATGAACACTTTCAAGTTTTACAATATCCACAACAGTATAATCAGTCTGTATATGCAGTAAAGCATGCTTGGTATACTCACTGTGGAACCTAAGGGGTTAATCCTCTGCATTGTGTAAAAATGCTGTTTGATCCTGGCTTCTCTGATCCTCTGATTCTTCCAGTGCCCCCTCTTATCTCCTGAAAAGACATATCATGGGGAGACACTCTGCACATGCTCAGTTTCGTGTGCATTGCTAGAGAGGTTTTTTTTTATTCTTGGGAGGGTGCATGTGATCAGCACAGGACCAATCAGCACTGTCCAGACAGAGGTCTGGGGTTCTGCTTCCTCCAAGAACAGAAAGAAAACTCCTCCTACAATCTTTAACATGTGCTCTGCTGGACACTGATAGTAGTCACAAGACTGCTCTAACTGCTGATGAAAAAAGGTATTTAGCAGCTTATATTTACTAAAATAATTGCATTTCCATGTTCTGTGTACTGTGGAAGACCAGATATAGTGAATGCAGGGTCCTGGGTTTAGTAACACTTTAATGTCTCAAAATGACAGCAGCCATGCTGATCATTTAGCTAACCTTCTGAGCTGAAACAAGTATGCAGTCAGTGAAGTCATTGTAGAGCCAGAACTAATAATACACACAAGCAAAGAAAGTATCCAGCACCAAACAGTAATAAAAGCAATCCACTAATGTGTTTCTGCCTCAATGGACCTCAATCATAGCTATGATTAAGGCCCTTTGAGGAAAGATTCAGAGGATTATGCTGTGCTAGATACTTGCTTTGCTTATACAGTACTCTGTCTATGAAAAGGTCTCTTTTAAATGCACTTCTATGGGTGGAAGGCCCGTGTAACAAAAACGGTGAGCTGTATGCATTCTTTTTCGGAACTATTAATACACATACTTGTTTCAAGTCAGTGACTCGGAATGTATTGAAGCTTTGGAATATTGTGAGAGCCAGGCATTTCCAGGAGAGGTCAGCAGTGGCAACTTATGGATTTTTTGGTATGGGTGTCTTTATGAAAAAAAATACATAGTACAAAAACAACTGCTCCTTTTCTTACTGCTCCTGTATGTTCTATAAAAGTTCAAAATTCAACCAATTTACAGTCTGCTTTTTTTTGTTCCAGGTTATTGAATTAAGTAGTTATTTTCTTGCACACTAAACCAGGTTATTACTGTGCTTTAAATAACCACATTTTCTGCATTAGTTGTGACTAGTGGACAACTAGAGTAAAGAAAAGTGTACATTAGTAGGTTTAATGTATTGTATACTGAAATTGATGGACATACAGTAAGTTTAGTTTTGAAAAAATTATTTTGCATTTTAAGACCTTATAAATAGGAAATACGGTAATAGCCTGGTAATAATAGCCAGGTGTTGTAGGCTGTGATTGCTTTGTGACCAATACTTTAATTTGTGTGTCATTATTTTAGCATTATAACTCAGTTTTTCTCTGGTATAATAGAAGTGCTACGGCAAACAACCCCCAGAGACATTTGTGTTCTCCTGGTGACTAATTTGAATTTACAGTGACTACTAAATATGTTATGTAACTCTCTTGCTTAATCTTTCCTAACATATGTCCACACCCACAAATAGACAGAAACACAATGCAAATCCTGAATTTATACCTTTTTAAATACATAAAATTATATGTAGCTGTAGTACATTGGAATGAACAGATACATTGTCTTGTTTAATAAGACAGTGTAAAGGGTGAAACTGATTTATCACCATTCATTCATTTCCAGCAGTCAAAGCAATTGAATTTTTTTCTGATTTATTGCATTTTGCACATTGCCTTACCATCACTATTGATATCATACCCAAGCAGACCACCAGCCTAAAGTAGCAGTTTTACCAGCAGCTGCATTTATAAATAAAATAAATAAAGAACTCCAAACTCCTAGAATTTCCATGGATTTACTATGGAGATCATCTGCAATGCTGTTTTGCCAAAGTCAATATTTATTTCATATTTGCCAAAGATTTAAGGCAAATTCATCAAAACTTTACCCCACTCACCAGCTGGATTTATAAATATGCACTTAATTTATAAATTGTCTTCATGTAATTTTCCCAAGACATAAGGCAAAGTAAAAATTAGCATGGAGAATTGGATAGAGCACAGTAGCGTTTTGTGAATGAGCTATAACTAGAACTGAGAGTAAAGAAATTAGTTGCTTTTGTCTTGGAATTCCCCAAGAGTGCTTGAAGATTCTTCTCAGAATATTCGATTCTACTCAGAATAATAAGATACAGATGTTGAGCAAATGTTTGAATAAGCGAAGAATTTGTTTTCTTTATATAATGTACATAAAAAGTAAGTGTGTAAAATTAACTTTCGTTTAAAGAGCTTGCATACTTTAAACACTATGGGAGAGATTTACTGATGCACTCAGAATCTGGTGCAGCTGTGCATGGTAGCCAATCAGCTTCTAACTTCAGCGTCTTCAATTAAGCTATGATAATAAAACCTGGATTCTGATTGGCTTCTATGCATAGCTGAACTAGATTTTGCATTCTCCAGTTTTAGTAAATCTCTCCCTATAGTTCTTTAACATATTCAGACAAAGCAATGAGGTTTGCAAATTTCCATTTCTACAGCTGTCCTTTTGAGAGCTGCAATCGGACCGTCTAGATTCCAATCATTTCAGATTTCTTAATAATATTGTCTACAAACCTGCATGGACTAGGATATTAAAAAAATCGTTGCGCATGCTATCAATGTTATTTCCCAACCATTTATCAGACCTCACCAAAAAACCTTGATAATATAATGGCAGATCATCCATAAATATATCTTCAGAAACGGAAACTCTGCAACACACCGATCCTCATCGATCGAAATAACAGGATGAAAAACTTTGTAGTTAATCGAAAATCCACTTCTCCAATAGATAAAGGAGCACCTTCAAACGTATCCATGGGGGGAAATGCCAAGCACTCGAGAGAAACAGAAAGACTTCATGGTGCAATATTATAAAAACCAATTCCTTTATTAGGTACTCATTGCACTTACTCAAGAGGTGTCCCAGCCGACACCAGCATCAACAGCATAACAGCAATCACATAAACGAGCCTGGCTACTCAGCACATGCGCAGTAGCTGGCAGCCAAAAACGTAATAACGTCACATCAATCAATCTCACATCCTCTCCGTGAGGACGTCGATGACGAAACGCATAGGGCGGAGCTTGATTGATGTGACGTCATTACGTTTTTGGCTGCCAGCTACTGCGCATGTGCTGAGTAGCCAGGCTCGTTTATGTGATTGCTGTTATGCTGTTGATGCTGGTGTCGGCTGGGACACCTCTTGAGTAAGTGCAATGAGTACCTAATAAAGGAATTGGTTTTTATAATATTGCACCATGAAGTCTTTCTGTTTCTCTCGAGTGCTTGGCATTTCCCCCCATGGATACGTTTGAAGGTGGTCCTTTATCTATTGGAGAAGTGGATTTTCGATTAACTACAAAGTTTTTCATCCTGTTATTTCGATCGATGAGGATTGGTGTGTTGCAGAGTTTCCGTTTCTGAAGATATATTTATGGATGATCTGCCATTATATTATCGAGGTTTTTTGGTGAAATTTTTCATATTTAGACACTTTTTTTGCACAAAAGTTTTTTGCACTTAAAAGTTTTTTTATTTTTTTGTGGTATTGGCATATATATTTTTTTTTCTGGACTTATGATTTGATGATTTATTTATATATATTTATATATTTATACACATTTACTAGCGCAAATTATTTATTTATTGGTACACTTTATATATGGTGATTTTTTGCAGCTGGTACACTATTAGTAAGTTATATAATTTTGACCATAGGCGCTATTATTAATTTTTCTTATTTATCAGACCTCAGCTGGAAAGCACATAATTACATTTGAAAGGATACTACATATTAATAATGAAAACACATACCTACAGAAAACACTAAAAATGTATATACAGTAAAGGAAATAAGTATTTGATCCCTTGCTGATTTTGAATGTTTGCCCACTCAGAAAGAAATGATCAGTCTAAAAACTGAATGGTAGGTGTATTGTAACACTGAGAGACAGAATAGCAACAAAAAATTCAAAAGAAATACATGTCTAACAAATTATGCACTGATTTTCATGTTCATGAGGGAAATAAGTATTTGATCCCCTGTCATTCAGCAGGATTTCTGGCTCCCAGATGTATTTCATACAGGTAGCAAGCTGAGATTAGAAGCAGTCTCGTAAAGGGAGTGCTGCTAATCTCATTTTGTTACCTGTATAAAAGACACCTGTCCACAGAAGCAATCAAACAATCAGATTACAAACTCTCCACCATGGTAAAGACCAAAGAGCTGTCCAAGGATGTCAGAGACAAGATTGTAGACCTACACAAGGCTGGACTGAGCTACCAAACTATCGCCAAGCAGCTTGGTGAGAAGGTGGCAACAGTTGGTGCAATCATTCGCAAATGGAAGAAACACAAAAACAACTGTCAGTCTCCCTAGGTCTGGTGCACCATGCAAGATCTCACCTCGTGGAGTGTCAATGATCATGAGAACAGTAAGGAATCATCCCAGAACTACATGTGAGGATCTTGTCAATGATCTCCAGGCAGCTGGGACCGCAGTCACCAAAAAAACAATTGGTAACACACTACGCCGACAAGGATGGAAATCCTGCAGTGCCTGCAAGGTCCCTCTGCTCAAGAAAGCACATGTCTAGGCTCGTCTGAAGTTTGCCACTGAACATCTGAATGATGCAGAGGAGGATTGGTTGAAAGTGTTGTGGTCAGATGAGACCAAAATCAAGCTTTTTGGCATCAACTCAACTCACCGTGTTTGGAGGAGGAGGAATGCTGTCTATGACCCCAAGAACACCATCCCAACTGTCAAACTTGGTGGTGGAAACATTCTGCTTTGGGGGTGTTTTTCTGCTAATGGGACAGGACAACTGCACCGAATTAAAGGGACAATGGAAGAGGCAATGTACCATCAAATCTTGGGTGAGAACCTTCTTCCCTCGGCCAGGGCATTGAAAATGGGTCATGGATAGATGTTCCAGCATGACAATGACCCAAAACACACGGCCAAAGCAACAAAGGAGTGGCTCAAGAAGAAGCACATTAAGGTCCTGGAGTGGCCTAGCCAGTCTCCAGACCCTAATCCGATTGAAAATCCGTGGGGGGAGCTGAAAGTTCGAGTTGCCAAACTCAGCCACCAAACCTTAATGACTTGGAGAAGATCTGCCAAGAGGAGTGGGCCAAAATCCCTTCTAAGATGGTGGCCAACTACAGGAAACATCTAACCTCTGTGAGTGCCAACAAGGGATTTGCCATCAAGTACTAAGTCATGTTTTGTGAAGGGGATCAAATACTTATTTCCTCATGAACATGCAAATCAGTGCACAATTTCTTAGACATTCATTTCTTTTGAATTTTTTCGCTGCTATTCTGTCTCTCAGTGTTACAATACACCTACCATTCGATTTTTAGACTGATCATTTCTTTGTGAGTGGGCAAACATTCAAAATCAGCAGGGGATTAATTTCT